TTGGACAACATGAACTCTTTAAAACAATGGGAAACAGTCCATTCTGTTGGTCATTTACTGTGAAAGGGGATTTTGCGGTTTGCTTTAGCGTGTTTGATGAAATGTTGACATGATCATTTGCACTTGAAGTCTAGCTCTGAGTCATGTGAACATGGTGGACTGATTACTAAAATGCTGACAATGATGTTCAAATTGTATTCTCTAGCTCAACGAAACCGCTTTTGTCTAATCTAGCAACGCCTATTAACAAAGCCTGATGTAACGGCTCTCTTTCCTAGAGGCAGCCGTACAGACTCAACTAGATCCAAAGTTTTGCTCTTGCTGGCACGATTAGATCTGTTGTAGAAATTCAAAAGCACAATGCACTTTAGTCTCGCCCTGTTGGATTACGTTCGTCGTCGACTGACCCTCGCTTGTTTACCGGACTACCCTTGCCTTGTCTTCTACATACCAGTTTGCCTATGTCTGACCTATGCCTGTTTATGACCACGTCTTAATAAAAGCTTTGCACATGGATCCGCAAGTCTCATGTTCTGGTTACTCCGTAACAGTATTATAAATACGGGCTTCATAGAAAGTGTTACCAAAATTTTCAACCAGCAATTATATATATATTCAATTTGTTTATTCCAATTAATTAATTAATTAAATAAGTAATTAATTAATATGTTAATTAATTAATTCAAAAAGAGATTTGTGGGCAAATGACTCTTATGAATTAGTTCTATTCAGTGAATCAACAACAAAATGTGCAACCAGTTTAGTCCAATTCACGAACATATTACTCTTATTTTAGTGAATCAACTGAAATGACTCACAAACTAGCCGTGTGAATCATGCTGACAAATTTCACAGAATGAACTCACTGAACCAGTCGGAGTGTTACTGAATCTGACATGCTTAATAAACTACAAGATTTTATTACTTTCAATGAAGCTAGTAGTACATTTTCATTAAACTTAAATCGTTACGATTACTAGCTATTCAAATGACAATGTGTTAACGATATATGCTTCTCCAAGATTTTTGGTGATAAATAAAAAAATATTTTTAAATATGCATGATTAACTGCCTATTTTATAATGCATTACTTTTATTTTGAATTAATTGCACTAAATTAAAACGTTAAAACTGAAAGCCCGTATTTCACATATAGCATGGGTGTCTGAGTATTTATCACATAATGGCCCCTCAGCTAAAAGCATCCTTTAAATGCATCTGTCTTGCATCAGCACACATTAGTGGATATGCCAAGAACCAGGCAGAACGCTGGAGCTGGTTTCAATATTCTCTCCCTGCAGTGACGCTGACTGAGCTTCAGTCTCTCAGACGGGACTATTTCGTCATCGCACCGAGAGAAAATTACGTGCAGAGCTCAACAACATAATGACGTCAAACTGGGTCATGAGACATGCTGTGAAGAACTCAAGAACACTGAACTTTCAGATAACTGATCGCATTCATATAGAGGTTAGTATGTCTCTTACCTCTGTTTTCTTTTGGATACCTCTCCTGACCATTATGAATGGTTAGAAGATTATCTGGGTTTTCATTCATAACTATTAGTATTGACTCCAGTGTTACATCTTTCATGCATGAAGCATGCTCGCATATTTTACTCGTTTGTTTATGACTGAATGCAGCATGAAGACAAATGCGCTCCTTATCGAGATCCACAAAGAGGTACCTAGTTTGGAATTTTCTATTCCTATTTGGAAATGAATGTGCGGGGATCTAAAATCGGGATTCGGATTAAACTTTGAAGATCATGAAAAGGCCATCTTTAACAGTGGAAATCACAATGAGAGACTACTTTCCTTTACAGAAACAAACTGCTTAACTGAGAAATTCCCGAGAAAATTTAAAAAAAAAAAATAATAATAATAAATCCCTTTGAGAGAAAAATGCTTAATATCAATCCAACCCTGCAAGAAGGTCATATGCATCGTTTTTTTTTTTCAAAACATACAATTCAGAACAAATCTGAATATGTGCAGATATCAAACCTTTATATACCTCTACTATTATAACTATTAAACATTTATTTTGTTACATTTATGTTATTAATTATATTATATTTGTAATAAACAGTATATTTACTATTAAATTATTTACATTTACCTGTCTCTGGGTATTGATATTTTTGTTGTTATGATTATACTGTTTTTATTAGTTTGATGTAGGCATAAACATTTCTGTATGTATTTGGCTTTTTTTATTTTTATTCAGGAAGTGTTCACCCAAAAATTTAAATATGATGAAAATCAAGTCATCCAAGATGTAGATGAGTTTGTTTCTCTGGAACAGATTTGGAGAAATGTTGCATTACATCACTTGCTCACCGATAGATCCCCTGCAGTGAATGGGTGCCGTCAGAATGAGCGTCCAAACAGCTGATAAAAACATCACAATAATCCACAAGTAATCCACACGGCTCCAGTCCAACAATTGATGTCTTGTGAAGTGAAAAGCTGTGTTTGTAAGAAACAAATCCATCATTAAGACATCTTTAACTTCAAACCGTTGCTTTCAGCTAAAGCAGGGGTCACCAAAATCGGTCCTGGAGGGCCGGTGTCCTGCAGAGTTTAGCTCCAACTTGCCTCAACACACCTGCCTGGAAGTTCCTATACCTAGTAAGACCTTGACTAGCTGGTTCAGGTGTGTTTGATTAGGGTTGGAGCTGAACTCTGCAAGACACTGGCCCTCCAGGAGTTTGGTGACCCTGAGCTAAAATACAGTCCTCTATGTAAAATATTGCTTTCTCCAGTGAAAAAGTCATCTCGTCTGAATCAGGAGAGAAATATGCACAGATCAAGCACATTTTATGAGTGAAAACAGTCCAAAATAGCTCTAAACAAATATATTGATGGGTTTTGACGTGAGAGGAAACAGAGGATGGACTTTTTCACTGGAGGAAGCTTATTATGGATTATGGACTCATATTTTGGCCGGAAGCGACAGTTTAAAGGGGTCATATGATGCGATTTCAATTTTTCCTTTCTCTTTGGAGTGTTACAACCTCTTGGTGCATAAAGAAGATCTGTAAAGTTGCAAAGACTAAAGTCTCAAATCCAAAGAGCTGTTTGGTCATATAAAGGGGTCATATGATGTTGCTAAAAAGAACATTATTTTGTGTAGGTATGTGGGGGCGTGTTAGAACGAGCCGTTTTAGGTAGGCGTGGTTGACTCTGAACTTTTATAAAGAATATCTCTTTGGATTTGAGACTTTAGTCTTTGCAACTTTACAGATCTTCTTTATGCACCAAGAGCTTGTAACACTCCAAAGAGAAAGGACAAATTTTAATCGCATCATATGACCCCTTTAAATAAGCCCTTATTAGTTCTCTGCCTTTGCATTTTCTTGCTTTTTATTGTATATATTTTATACAGTGCAAAATAATCAACTAAAAACTTAAACTAAACCATCACATAAAAATGTCACACACAACTTCTCTCCATTCATGCGGACTACATCATGGGACGTTTTCATCAAGACGGACTGAAAGTGACCTTTTGTGGGGTGTAGAGTGACATGAGAGGAGAAAACTATCCGTTCCTGGTACGGCTTCACCGAGCATCTACGTAACTGCTTACAGAACAGCAGACATTTCCCACAAACACCCCCAGGTGTTGACGCTATCTCGCATTTTAACATGTGGCCTCCAAACAGCTTAATACTCTTCCATTTAGACCTAGTCAGAAACAGCTTTCCACAACCACGGCAACAACCGCAGATCTAAAAAGTGCAGTATGGCCCAGATTGTTATGTAAATCCGGTGTTGTGCCCAGTTTTGAACCCCTGTCAAATTATTACCTCCCTCCTTGAAGTCGATACCTGATTGCCTTTTATCCTAACCCCTCCCCTAATCCTAACCCTAAACCTACCAATAATCTGGAGGGGACCCGGGGTCAGAATTGGGCACAACACCAGTAGTACTAGCAAAGGCATCTGCAGTTATTATCTAACTGCATGAGTGAGCTGAGTGGACCTGTCACTGTCTATTAGGCATTGTATTTTCAGTGTTCTCAACTCAGTCCACAATTACTCAAGACAAAACTAATACAAAATTTCACTTCTAACGTTATTTGTTTATGTGAAAGCATTTGCACTTAGTGTAAACAATGAACGGTGTTTGTTTGTTGATAGTTACACTTGGTTCAAACAGCTACTATTTACATTTTGTGTAAACAGCATCTACGTGTATGCGCAAATAAGTGATTATAAGCAGGGTGCGAACTACGGTGGAGCTAGGGGGAGCTCGGCTCCCCTTAATAAGACATGGGCTCCCCTGAAAACGTGATTTGTGAAATTTTGGGGGGTCTCAAAAAATATTGACAATGTGTTATTTTGACG